TTATATGAAAAATTGCTTTGATTATTAATAAGATTTTTTTTTTCTTATAGGACTTGGAAATTGAATGTATTTGATACATATTTTTATAGGAAAAAAACGTTAATACCATTTTTGTCCATGGAAAAAGTAATTTTATAATAAAGGGATGTACAATACCCCAAATAGACAGATTCTGTCAATTCAGAATATTCTGGTTCCAAGTTTGACACTGGTTAGAAAAAAAAAAGGGCTTTCTCTGCAATAGCCAATAACCTTGCAATAGTTAAAGATCTTTTTTTTCTAATCAGAAGCACTTGATAACACTGCTTATAATTTTTATAGAAATGTTGAGTGCTCCCAGGAAGTGTTAAAGACAACGGGAGCAATTGGTGCTTTCGTGTGGTTGTGACATGAAGATCTCACCTGTCTCCTCTGATCTCTCTGATGTAGGTTGAGGAGGAATCTGAAGCAACGACAGAATTGTTTGAATTCTAAAAGCCAGAAGTTAGAGGATGTGAAGATTTAGCCATTATTGATTTTCTTTTTCTCCCTCAAAGCTTACAAAGAAAGATACTGGTGTCCTTTTGGAGATGTCTGCGTCTTTTTAATCTCAAAACCAGACAAAATTAGGTATGTTGAACTTAACACTGCTTTCTAAGAACATTGGGAAAAATAAGAGGACTGCCTATTTATTTAGAAGCAGTGCTTTGTCTCAAAAGCATGTAAAAACATCAGCACATGCTAGGTTAAACTGTTTGCCTAATTCTTAAGCTTGCTCAAGAAATGAACTGGTTTTAGCCAGTGCCTTGCCTAGCAGCTTCCTTCCCTATATGGTACTCAGCAGTGGTGCAGAGGCATGTTCACAGTAGAGTCATGGAGTCATTAAGGTGGAAAAAGACCTCTAAGGTCATGCAGTCCAGCTGTAAACCTAACACTGCCATATTCACCACTAAACCATGGTGTGGTCAACACCAAACCACACATCTACACATTTTTTAACACTTCCAGGGATGGTAATTCCACCATTTCCCTGGACAGCCTGTTCCAATGCTTGACCACACTTCCAACAAAGAATTTTTCTCAACAGCCAATCTAAACCCTCCCTGGTGCAACTTCAGGCCATTTCCTCTTGTCCTGTCACTTGTTACTTCAGAGAAAAAAACAGCCCTCACCTGTCTACAGTCTCCTTTCAAGCAGAAAGAAGCCATTAGCACATGATTTTTGAGAAGATCTGTAGTACTAAAAAATAATTTCCATCATTTGGATTTTTACAAGTTCTGGTGAATAATGTGGAACAGTTAGCAGAGGCACGGAAAGATTAATGATGTCTGTGCTGGTTAATTTTTTGATTGGGAGCATCGTTCATTATTTTAACTTCAAATTCTGTTTGTTTGGCTTCTTTGCACTAGTTTGAGTGATTAAATAAATGCTTGAGACTTCTGATGTAGGAAATTCCAATCCTACAGATAAGGAAAGGAAAGCCCAGATTACAAATTGCCCCTGGGAAAAGACCTTTCCTAATGCAGTTTCTCTCTGTGAATGGCAGTTCAGGATCTTGTGCTTATGGCCCTGTCTGAAATAAGAAAGGAAATTTTCCTGAATATGAAATCAGGATTTGTCTTTTTACATGGAATGTTTTGTGTATTTTGTGAACATTTATAAAGATAATTTGGTTGAGATTATTAAAATATATTTAACTCCTGCATGCATTCTCCCCTTGAGTAACAAGATCTTCATCTTCATTACAAAGAACAAGATTTCCAAAGCTAAGATAGTGAATGAGTGGTACTGTAACACTGAGGCACCAATGTTTCTGATAAAGTGCCCTGGTTTAACCCCAGCCAGCAGCCAATCCCCACGCAGCCACCCACTCACTCCCCCCACTGGGATTGGGAAAAGAATAAAGGAAGGAAGCTGGAAAACTCAAGGGTTGATATAAGACACTTTAATAGGGAAAGCAAAAGCCACACATGTAAGCAGAGCAAACCAAGGAATTTAGTCACCACTTCCCATGGGCAGACAGCTGTTCAGCCATTGCCAGGAAACCAGGGGCTCATCACATGCTGTAGTTACTTGGAAAGGCAAACACCAAACATCCCCTTGCTTCCTCCTTCTTCCCCTGCTTCAGGTACTGAACATGATGTCATACGGTATGGAGTATTCCTTTGGTCGGTTGGGGTCACCTGTCCCAGGTTGTCAGTCCCCATGTCCCCAGTCTCCTCACCAGCATGGTAGTATGAAAACAGAAAAGACCTCATCTCTGTGTTAGCCCTGCTCAGCAATAACAAAAACATATCTGGATTATCAACCCTGTGTTCAGTACTAATCCAAAATACAGTCCCATACCAGCCACTGTGAAGAAAATTAACTCTACCCCAGCCCAAAGCAGTGTATAAGGCTGGTGCATCATTTGCCTTCAAAATCAGAACATTCCAAATATGAAATAAAGCTCAGATGTGCAGCTGTTAGTCCCTTACTGAAATCAGTACTAACCTAGTAAGATTCTTATTCTATCTGTAGTCACAATGATATTCAGGTCGAGAAGGACAAAAAAGCAAACATTAAAAAAAAGGTTGATTCTTTAAGCAATTTCCAAAGAAGAATGTCAATAGTGTTGATGAGCATGTTCACAGTGTCAGCTGCTGACTGCTGACTCAAAGCAGCACATTAGGAAATCACTGCCTGATCTCTGTATCGTGGTGTTATCTTTGCATCTTACACTTCCCTCTGCCTTACACACACCCATTTAAAACTATTTAATGGATTGTTGCTATTTGTTAATGTGGGTTATGCTGTGTAAGCCACCTAGAGCCTGGCATATTTTTCATAGGTTCTGAGTATTTCTGGATTAAAGATTTTAATTTCTTGTATGATAAATAAAACATTGAAGACCTGAATTAATTACTCCCGATGCAACATGTGCCATGGGGTTTCACAGAGAGAATCCCACAGCCAAGCAACTGAAGTCTAGCTACAGCAAAGTCCTAAGAAAGTCTTGATACCCTGGTCTAACACTTTTGTACACATACACACCCCCAGAATGGAGCCCTTCTGATACATATTTTAAAAGTAATTTTTAAAGTAATTACTACTGAGAAAATGTTATAAAAAGTGTATTGACTCACTGTACTATGACATATTTAACATAACTATGGAATATGCTATGGTTCTACAGTACATTATCAACATGGCATTTGAAACAAAGGGGGGAAAGTATTTAATTAGAAATCTTCAAAATATTTGTTTGGATTTGGAATCCATTATGCTAAGATATCCCCAAGAAGCAAAAGTTGTGAACTACAACTTATTTTTATTCTCCTGTGGCTGTGTCCTGCCTTTGATTTGCTCCCAGGCTACAGCTGGAATCTGTGGGACCTAACCAGATACAATCTGTGTGTGGTTCCTGCCGGAGCTGTTTTACTCAGACAAGCAATGTTTCTGTTAGTTTCTGTCAGAAGCACCAACAACTGCTGCACCATACCAGCAGGCAAGCACACTTGAGAAATCCTTATACAGAAATAGGAATGGGAGAAAATTAACAAATTGGAAAGAAATACCCTGAATGTTTGTGCTGAATTGTAGCCAAAAAGCCAGAAACTAATTTGACATAAAGGGAGCAGAGTGTACCTGGAAAAACATCATTCTGTCTCTGGTAGAATTCTTCTTACCTAAATCACACTGGAAATCTGTGACTCTGGCAGTTTTCAGATTTGAGATATACTGTGGAAGGTAAGGCAGGAAAAGTAATTCTCAGTCATTTGTCTGGGAAAGAAGAAACAGCTGCAGCCATTTGTTACAGCTTTAGATTTAAATAGTGGGTTGGTACAAGAAAATAATCACTGGATGTCTTTGTGCTTGTAACAGAGGAGATGTCATCTGATGGGAGAAAGTCTTGATGGAGCAAAGAACAACTATTTCTACATTTCTATCTCTTCGGGTTTTCAAAATGTGTTTAAAACACCCCTTTTTTGGTAACAAGTCTAGCAGCCAGAGTGGTTTCTCCAAACACTGTTCAGTTTCTTACTGTGCAATCTCCCTAATCACACTCTGCAGTATGGTGGATTTGGCATTGTCTAAAGATGGCAATGGGAGTTCCACCACCATTTCTCTTCCAACGCCTTCCACTGGATTTCCTGCACTGAGGCAGAACTCTGTACAATGGGAAACTCCAAAAAAAATACTGTCATTAATCCAATCAGAGCAGAGCAGAGCACAGCACTCACAGTCTGCTAAGTTAGGGTGGCTGGGAAGTCTCAGAGTGTTGGAACACCTGCTGTTAAGTTCTCTGTCAGTGACATAGTTGAGCATCCCACAGCCTAGTGACGAGAAGTCCCCCTTGAGCAGGCATTTTTTGGGTGGGCAGCAGACCGAGAACCCTCCTTGGGGTGTGGGAGAGCCGATCCCCAGAGCTGTGTGCTGGTCTCAGTCAGGGCGTGTTTGGCACTTACAAGATGACAGAGGAGCCCCAGTGGAACTGAGGCTGGAAGGCAAATCTCCCTGCTCCCCAGGGAGTCTGGGATCAGTCCTTCCACATCACATCACAGAGTCAAGAGTGTTTTCAGTACAAGCTTAAAGATATGTTCAAGAACGGTTTGTTTGAGACCCAGAGGCTGATTGAGCAGAGGGATGTCTGTCGAGTGCATTTTTAAGAGGTTTTGACTGCAGAAAGGATTCAGCAACACTCACTTGGGCTGGAGGCAGCCCTGGAAACCCTGAGGCAAAAAAAAACGTGGCTTAGCAGGGCTGCTTGGAGGCTCCTCCACTGTCCTCCAGAGAAGCAGTGTCCATTCTTTTGCACCCTGGAGGCCAAAGGATGGTCTGTGGTGCCGGTGAAGTCCATCGTCGCGCCCGTGTACATATTGACAAGAGTAGCTTTTGTCAGAGTAGCTCCTCATGGCTGAAGGAAAACCCCCACCGAGGCTGCCAGCACCAGGCAAAGGTAAACGTTGAGGCACAGTTTCAGTACTTAGATTTACAGATGGATTTAAGTACTGAACTTAGAATTTAGTGCTTAAATTCAGAACCGACAGTATTCCTTGCCATCCAGCCCGGCGGAGGCGGCTCCTCAGGGCTATGGATGTCAGCCAGAGGGCAGAAATCGTGGCGGGGTCTCGGCGGGGCCGGGCGGGGCCGGGTCCCGCCCGCGGGCAGCCCCGGCCCGTTCCCTCCGGAGCGGCGCTGGTGGAACTGTCGGGCCGGAGGGTTTGGCTGGGACGCGCTCTTGGCTGCGGCGGGCGCTGTGCGGGCGCTGCCGGGCCGGGGCTGAAGGCAGGTGCCCGGCTCCCTCTGCGCCGCTCCCGCCCCGCCGGCTCCTCACCGGGCTCGTCCCTTCCCGGGACTTCCAATTATCGCTAAACTTGAAGTCCTTAATTTTCTTGGCTGCAAACCCGGTAACGAATCGCTCAGACTTTGTTTTTCCACTGCTCCCGAGGCTTGATTTATTGTGTCTCTCTTATCGCACAATCGGCTTCGTTCAAAATGTTATTCTGGGCTAATTCCATTCCCCGGTATTTATTTTGACTGTCCCTTCTCATTAGCGTTACTGATTTTTAATCGCTCCCCGTTCCCGGTTAAATCCCCTCTCTGCCCGGGCTCGCCTTATCCCGTTCGTGTTTCCATCCCGTGTGGGCCGCTCCCCCGGAGCGGTGCCGGGGCAGCCACGACCCGCTCCCCCCGCGGCTGCGGGACGGAGCCTCGCCCGGGGGAACCCGCTCCGCCCGGGAACATCCGCGAGCCGGAGATGCGGCGGCGGAGCGAAGAGAAAGGGCTTGCTTTTAACAGGGCATCGCCTGAGCTCCCAGCCCAGCGATTAAATTTCTCTCCTCCAGCAAAACCGTTACTTTATCCCAAGAAAAACAGCGCGAGCGGGGCGAGCGGCGGCGCGGGGCGGCGGGACCCGCACGGACCCGGGGCCGGGCGCGGGGGAGGGCGGGGGTCGAGGGGAGCGTGAGGCGATGCCGCCCCGACAGCTCCGTGATTGATGACCCACCCGCCCGGGAAGGGGCGGTCGCTGTCGCCCAGGCTGGAGGGGGGAGCCCGGGGGCCAGGTGCGACACAGCCCCGCCGCACCCGCCGGCCCCGACGCCTTATAAACACCGGGGCCGCACGGGGCGCGACGGGAGCGGGGCGCCGGGAGCCTCCGCAGCGGGCGGGAGCGGTAAGTACATCCCCGGCCGGGCACCGCGGGGTCCGGCCAGCTCCCGGGCAGCCGGGATGCGGGACCGGGACGCAGCGGGCCGGCGGGGCCGTGAGCGCCGGGGCTGCCCCCGCACACCGACAGACAAGTTCCCATTCCTCTGCTCCGGAGAAAGGGATTTCGTTACTTGTCACCGGAGATACACGGAGGACAAGGCCTTTTTAAAACCGACCCAAAATAATTCAGATTGGCTGTATTTTGCCCCCATAAGGAGCAAGGGAAAAGTTTATCTAAGGTTTCCACCTGTTTGTTTTCAGTTTGTGCGCTCTGCTCTGGCGTTTTCCATCTTTTCCTTGTCTGTGTGGGCAGGTTGTCTTCATCGCCATTTCATTCACACAGAGTACAAGACTAAAATAAATGTTGTGCTGGGATTTTTTTTTTTTAAAGATGTCAAACCAATCATGTCTTTGTAGTGTCATGTAAAAACACAAATGCATCTGCAGGCATTAGAAATCCTGCACTAGAAGGGCTTTAGAAGCAACATAAATACTTTAAATTACTTTCACAGCCCTGTTCTCAACTCTCTCAGCACACCAGGTGGCAAGTGGGTGCTTGCAAAAATTACTGCGATTATTTTAAAAACCAAACCTTTTTCTTGTAAAATTTTAAAAGGGAAATTACTGTTGCCCAGAGGCTTTTTATTTACTTTAGCTTTTAGCAACATTTTTTGGACCATGAGGTTTTGGCAATGCCTGGGATTGATGCACCTGGAATGGATGTCCTGATTACTCCGGGGAGAAGAGGGATGCTACCCAGTCCCAGTGTGAAACAGAAGTGATCCTGGCTGTAGATCCAGGAACCACTATGATTTGGTATGTACACATATGTACATACCTACAGCAGATCCTTTGTTTTGTGTAGCAGATTTTCCCAGGCCATTTGCTGTTTTTGTTTGATAGGAGGTCTGACAGCAGGGAAATTTAATTCAGAGTGAAATCTCTAATTTCTGCTGCTGAAATTTTGTACTTTTTTTCCACAGGCCCAGGACTTGATTTCATATAGATGTGAAGTTCCTAAACCAGAAAATCCTATTTCCAAGGGCACCCCAGGAGATAAGGTTTTTAGGTACTTTTTAGGACATACTATGTACTGTATGTCACTTGAAGTCATTTCAGTTCTAAATGTGGTTCTACACCAGCACAGCAAAATCAAAATGTGTGTAAACCAGCCCTAGTCCTGTATTTCAGTAGAGGAGCAGGTATTTTTACTAACCTAGTCTGTCCCTATCCTTGGGTAATCCAGATTTCGGCAGTAATTGGGGAAGACTTCCTCCTACCAGTGGGATTTCAATGGGATGGCAGTGAGAAATCCTACTGTTAAACATAAATTGTTATTCTTCTGCCAGTGAATATCATTGTAATTATCTTAAATGAATGTCTTGATGTCCATTTCCACAGTGATGATTTTTTTTAACTAAAATGCATCCAGATCTGACCATGCCTTAACGCAATGAACAATCATCAACAAAAAAGCATATAACGACTTTTTTTAAAAGTTAGAGGCAACAGCCAATGTAAGGATCATTTTTCAGCCCTCACTCAAGATGAGCTCATGGAGTCTTAATGTAAGATTTATTTTATACTGATCATAAACACCACAATAAAAAGAATAGTGAGATTTTTTTTTCTCTTTGGTTTAGAGTTATAATGTGCATAGAATATTTCACAAATGATTTCAGTCTAAACTGTACTGCTACTGAATAGACCATTACATGATAATACTCTGTGAGCCACATTAATTGCAAATTAATCACAATTAATTACCCAAAATAATAACAATAAAAATATCTTCTAAATACCATCAAATTATAACATTGCACAAAGGTTTATTTACAAACCTTCCCTTGTCTTTGATAGAAATCTTTGACCTCAGTGTGTGCTTGAAGTGCTCTGCAAAATCAAGAACTAATTCTTGTAAATGTATATATTCAGTCATTTATGTGCATCAATGTTATTTAAAGTTTTAATTGCACAGTATTTGGATGAAATGAAAAGGTTTAACAACTTGTTCCTGCCCTTGTCTAGCCAGGCTGTCACAGGAACAGACACTCCTAACACGTGAAAGCCAGGATCTGGGACACCCACGAGGGCTGCTTGGCTGAGGACAACAGGATCAGGTATTATTCCAGCTAAGGAGTGCTGAACTTTGGGGAATATTGATTGAATTGCATTTTTTTTTTTTTCTGTGGAACTGAATGAATTAAAGGACTGTGAATTGTATTACAGGCAGAGCTGACTGACCAGCTTTACAAAAAGCTGAGAAAAGACCTTGAGGTCACTGTTTTCAGGTTTTCTTTAAAACATTTTTTGATGTTTTCAGAAGGTTATTTTGCCCCCCAATGGCCAAAATACATCTTACAAAATTCTTTTGAAGTTTGAAAATGTAGATAAGAAAGAATAAGCATGCAATTTCTTTAGTAAGATTAGGGGTGGGAGGACAGGAGAAGTCAGTTCCTGATCCTTTAAAATTATGGGCCAAGTTTTGCCCTTCAAAAACTGAGTCCGTGCTCTGTGGCTTCACTTACTGATGCATTTGAAAATTATATTTTTCTTTCCATAGTCCATGGAGCACTGATCACCTATAAGACTGTTCATGAAATGATTGCAGTGAAAATAGAAAACATACTAACAGTTCCACATCCCAAATCATAGAGGTTTTAAAATTGCCTTTAGCCTAATTTTTAGTTGATTGTAAATGGCAACCACTGTGGCAGTGCCTCTGGGTGGTGCCTGCTGGGTTTTCTCAGAAGTCATCTCTGGGCTATGAGTGACTCAAAAAATTTGCTCTGTGTAATACTGCCAAAAAAAAAAAAAAATCAAATACTGATCATTGCGAAGATTTTAACTTCTGTTCTGTACCCCTGTGTGATGCTGAATTCGTAAGCAGCGAGTGGAAAAGCAGCTCACAGAGCTGCATTCCAGCTTTTTCTAGCACAGGCAGCGCCTGCGTTTCTGACCATCCTTGTTTTCGGAACGTGCTGGCTCCAGCTCACCGCAGCATCTTCAGAGATGCTCTTGTTGCTTGCAGGACCCTCCACCGATGGACTGTGGGCACTTAGCAGAGAGCAGCGAGGAGACCCGCAGCCCGGGCGCCGAGCCCGATTCCCCGCCGCCCTCCTCGGCCGGCAGCAGCTCCTCGCCGGCGCTGGCGGGCGCGCCGCGGGCCGGGGCCGCTCCGGGCCGCCCCGCCGCCGCCAACGCCGCCCGGGAGCGCAGCCGGGTGCAGACCCTGCGCCACGCCTTCCTGGAGCTGCAGAGGACTCTGCCCTCCGTGCCGCCCGACACCAAGCTCTCCAAGCTGGATGTGCTCCTCCTGGCCACCACCTACATCGCGCACCTCACCCGCAGCCTTCAGGATGAGGAGGAGTCACCGGGAGAGGGCTTGGGCGCGCTCCGCGGGGATGGATACCTCCACCCTGTCAAGGTAGGGGAGCTGAGGGGCAGCCACCACCTTCTGTCGGTGCGTGAGTACACCGGCCTTAGACACGTAATTGAAACTAAAGGTTTCTCGCCCCTGTACCTTGCCTAGAGGTATTACATGGAAATTCTGCCTGGACTTACCGCTGGGCCTAGGTGTTAGGGGTCTGATGGAAATACCTTGGAGCTTTGCTCCTCCAGCTTCAGGAACTTTGCACCAAAATATCAAATCTCGTGTAGATTCAAACCTGGTTTTTGGAAGTGAAGGTCAGCACCACAGGAGTCCTTGCATCTTCTTGGTCCTTGTGTGGAAACCTTGGTGATCCCCACAGACCCACTGGATTGTCACGATGATATTTTTATGAAAATCCTTTGCTAGGATTTTCTCCTATTCTAGCTGAGAAGCTTCAGAAAAGAAATGTAAACAATAACTATCTGATAGCTGTGGAATGTGGTCTAGGCATTGTTTACCATCAGGTACATCTTTGATTGGTCCATGTGAGTTGTTTCAACTTAATAACCAATCAAAGATCCAGCTGTGTTCAGGCTGTGAGTAGTCACAAGATTTTGTTATTCATTCCTTTCTATTCCTTTCCAACCTTCTGATGGATCCTTTATTCTTTTTAGTATAGTTTTAGTATATTATTTTAATATAATATAGTATCATAATGTAATAAATCCACCTTCTGAAACATAGAATCAAAATTCTCATCTCTTCCCTCATCCTGGGACCCTCGAACACAGCCATCACTGGATCCTGCTGTGAGGGGTGTACGTGGTGAGGTGACGCTGATCCAGCCACGGCTGGGCCTGCTTTGGTTCTGCTACCCGACAGCCCAATGCCGACAGCGCTGTTAATTACCAGCCGTGTGTTAATTACTGCCATGAAGGTGCTCTTCTGAAGTATTTCTCTGGTTGGTATATGCTCTTCCCTTTGTCAAAAAAAGTCACAGCGATGCAGAAGGGATGAGAAAGGGGAGCTGCTCTCAGAGAGGAGCGGGCTGGAAGCTGTTTCCAAATGCAGTGCTCACTGACTGATGGAGCTCAGACACCGCGGGGTGTTTTCTTTGGCTCTGCTCACAGGGAGGGAGTTAGAGCACTGGGGTGTTTTCTTTTCTAAGAGTCTGAATTCAGAATGATTTAATTAAGATGAATTTGTGAAGTAATCTCTAATTTCTAAAAAGTGCCTAATTCACAGAGAGTTCCTTGTTTGCAATGTTGGTTGCTATATTTTACAGTATGATGTGACCGTAGGCTTCTGAGGCCATTTAAATGATTAGCAGACTCATAAAGAAAGCAAAACCTCTATATCAATTAGAAGATGGCTATAATTTAAGTAAAAAAATACTGTGATGTATTTAAAAATAAGTTCAAAATAGCTTCTGTTAGTTCCCTCAGTCAGAGTGAAAGGACACAGGTCTCTTATGGTACTTTTTATCCAGCTGCCAACTACTACAGGCAGAAAAATACTTTTGAATAGTTATTACAGCAGTTAAATGATCCAGACACCCATTTCTCAGGCTACTGGAAGAGAGTAATACTGGATTCACTTAAGCAGTTATTTTTTATGACTATATTTGATGAATGTGTCACGGTCAAATCCTAGAATGTGCTTCAAAAACCCCAAAAACGCAGGATATGAGACAACCTTTAAAGTTTTTAACTAAACTGATAGATTAAGCATAGTAAATGCAAATAGTGAAGAAAGTTAAATATTCAAGTACAGTTGTGTGTACACTGAATGAAAAATATGGCTAATGACTTTGAACTTGGATTGTTTATTGGTGACAAACTCTTAACATCACACTTGAAATTGCTGAATGAGCTTGTGCAGTCTTTCTAAGTGAGAATATGCAGCTGCTTTAGTTCTTTGAACAGAAGAGCTGAGATTTTTCTGCAGCATTCTTAAGTTCCCCTTACCCACAGGAAAGGTGCCAGTCTGTTCCCAAAAGAGTCTTTAAAAAACTGCATTCTTTTGTAACAACGTGCTGGCTGCATTTCAGGTATTTTTGCATCCAAGTTGTCTCTTCAAGCATCCACCTCTCTAATAGTGACCTTGGCACAGCAAACGGAGCTGGGTGCTCCCTCCCAAGTTCTGGGTGCCCAGCTGTGGCCACCTGCACCACAGGGCTGCTTGCAGAGAGAAACCTGCTGGAGTTAGAAACTCAAGCTGTCAGAATAAATATTTAACACCAAGAGTAACTGATGATTCCAAAAATCAATGCTTGTAAAGATGAACTGTGTCATCTGAAACACCTGGAGCTGACAAGAACAAGATGCTGAGAGTGCTGAGGACTGCCAAGGTGCAATTACATTAAATTCCCTTAGACTCCCAGCCTTCAGCAGCAGCCCCTGTGGTGTTGTGGGGCCCAGCCAGCCAGGACAGGTGTGGGGCTGCAATCCCTGCAGGTGCAGGTGTATCCCTGTAGCATCCCTGGTGCCTTGAGAAGGAATTCTTTGTTTTATTCTACTAACAAAACATCTAAGACACAAACTGAGCTAGGCTGACTGGCCAGCAAGGCCTGGTCCTGTCTGCTGGGGCATGGCAGGGCTGGGAGCTGTGCCTCTCAATTAATTACCAAAGCAAATACCCAGGCTGAGCTCCAAACAAGCTCCAAACATTTTTCCATCGAATGACAAAAGAGGAACTGTTTGGTGATAGCAACAGTTTCCTATTTTCTTGTGAATTCCATCAAATCTCTGCTGAGAACTGCAGTTGAGTGCAAAGATCTCAGTGCTGTGCTTGTCTCCTCTCTTGCAGAAGTGGCCCATGCGTTCCAGGCTGTACATTGGAGCCACGGGACAGTTTCTGACTCACTCAGCACAAGGAGACAGCGCAAGCCATGGGGAAACATCAACATCTTCACAGATCTAACCTCCCTTCTTGCTTTGAAAAAAATGGTTATTTATTACACCTTATATAAATATATATTTAAGTTAAAAAATCAGTATCTACAGACAAAATGTAATTCCTGAAATGCTGTTTGTGAGGAGAAAGAATTGATTCTTAAATGTAATTAATACCTCATTAAGTTAACGTGACACATCATTGGTTTCTATCACTGCTGCCATCTGAATGAGGGAGAGCAGGAGGTGGTGACTGCAGCCAGCAGCAGCAAAGAGCTGCCAGCAGAGTGAGGTATCCCTGTCCTCTCTGGGACAAGCCCTGTAAGAAAAGAGAGGAGGATTTATGTGCTAATGGCCAAGTACAGGGCAAAACAGGCTTGGGTGAAAAGAGAAGGGCAAGGCTAAAAATAGCAACTGTAATCCCACACAGACTCTCTCCACTGCTTAAAGCCGGTGGCAGAAATCCCCTGACCACAGCTGTCAGGTCAGGGCTCCAGCCATCCGATAGTCCTACACATTTGTAGATATTGCTGGGAATATGGATGCATGTTCATGGAGTAAAAATGTGCTGAGAGACCTGTCCCCCCTGCACAGAGTGCTGCTGCAATTTGGGCACTGCTTGTACCCACCTGCAGGACCGTGCTGCATGTTAGGGGCTCAGCCTGTGTTTGCTCCCCCGGCACAACCACGTGTCTGCTCACCACACCACGGCTCATTTCTTTTAAGGGGTTCACATGTTCACATGAGCAGGTGAACCCAAAGTGTTGGCTTGTTCACTTAAACATCTGTATTTAGGCAAAAGACGTTGAAACTAAATGCACAAATGTCATCTGTTATATCTGTTCTGTAAAACACTGTACTTACATGGTTTGTTATTGCTGAGGTAAATGTTCTATTAAATATTATTCAGTGAATATTACATACTTTGAGTTGCAAAATCTGTTACCAGTTTCTCACTGTACACTATAATATTTTACATTTATAGTACACTATAATATTCCACATTTATAGATGCTGTCTTCTTTCTGAAAGCGTCATGGTTTAAATTTAAAAACTGTATTTAGAAAAACAAAAATATTAGCCAGAACAACTTTCATAAAAACAGTACAGTAAGATCTGGAGCTCCCAACTGCCCCTGCAGTATTCTGAGCTTTTAACAAGATATTATACCTAGAAGGGACAGTATTCAAGAATAGGAAGAAAAAAAAAAAGATTCCTCAGTGTTTTTAAAAGGCTTATTCCTTTAAATGGCATTGAAAGATTCTGACTGCTTAACCAAGAAGCAGGGGGTCAGTTGGACAGGAAGAATCTCTTCAAATAAAGGCCTGTTAAGCATTGGAATGGCCTGCCCAGGGAGGTGGTGGAGTCACCATTCTTGGAGCTGTTCAAGAAAAGTCAGGATATACCACTTTGTACCATGACCAAATTGACAAGGTGGTCATCACTCAAAGGTGATCAGTAGTTTTTTTCCAATCTAGTTCATTTTGTAGTGCAACATGAAAACTGCTTTAGTAACAAGGGTTAAAAACATGGAAAGTTATGAATGGATGGCAGAGAGAATACATCTCAAACTCTTTATCACTGAGCTGCAAGAACTGTATCAATTTCTCATTGTACATTATGATATTGTGACTTTATAGATATTGTCTTCTTTCTGAAAACTTTAAATTTAAAAATTACATTTAGGAAAAAAGGAAAACCAAAATACTACCAAGAACAATTTTTGTTAAAAAGTATGGTAAAATCTGAGCTCTCCACAAGCCCTGCAGTATTTACAACTAAATATTTACAAAGCTCTGAAGGCAGCCAGAGAATCAGAGCAGCAAGCACTGTAGCTACTTACTGTAGCTGTATCCCTAAGACTTTTTCAGCATTTTATGGAATTATTACAGGCCTGTAAGAACAGGCAAAATTACAACAGAAGTTTTTCAGTTAAAAAGAGCTCCCCGTATTTATGAGTGGGGATTTTTTTCCCCCTGGAGACAGATTATTCTGCATCAGAATTATGCCTTTCCTTCCAGAAGACAGCAGCTTAGGCAACACACTCCCTTTGACCAGGGCAAGAGCTTTTATCTTATAAATTTACACAGCAGGATAACAACAGATCCTCTGAACCTGCTTGCTTCAAACCTGATGTTTGGTTCCAGTGCTACTTTTCCTAGGAACAGTTCATGTCCTCGTATACTGAAACACAAGAGTTTGGCATTTAACACTAGGAATATGCACGTGCCTAGGAACACAGCTGTAAAATGTTACAAACGAGACCAGGCTCCCGGTACTAAAGTGATTTCAGCATTTATTATAATAAAAAGAAAGGCCTAAAGCAAGGGGGCCCGCGGGCCGAGCAGGAGCGATCCCGTCGAGGATGCTGCAGCGCCGGCCCTGGGTCTTCCTCAGCAGCGACGTCCCCGATGTTCCAGGTGCAGCGGCACAGCTTCCCTGGCTCAGATGCCCCTTTTTATCCTGCTTTTTTTGTCCCTTTGGATTGCTCTCTTTTTGGATCCTTCATTTGCATTAAGGTTTTAGGCGCTTGATTGCCCGTTACAGTTCTGTCCAGGGTGGCTCGTCTTGCTTGGGGAGCGGCGCACTTTACTCCTGTGTATTTCTTACAACTACCCATTTAACCCCTTTTACAATATAACAATCGAACTAGCAGTACATGCTAAACAATTATTAACTATTTCACAACACTTTTAAACCTATTTTTAACAAAATGTTTATACACTGCTATCAAAAGCTGGCATTCTTCATGGAGGAACCTACAAGATCTCGGCAAACTTCGGTCATCGTCATCACAGCTGTTCCCTCGGAGGTCTGGGACAGCTGAACCTCCCGGGGACACGGCAGAGGCGCTGCTCGCACGCCACAGGAGCTCCGCTCCGGGCTGCTCGCAGCCAGAACTCCAACAGCGCCTGCGGACACGGATCACTTCCCCGACCATCCCAGTCCCACCCCTCACCACCGCTCCCCCCGTATCCCTCTGCGCGCGCAGCCGGAAGGCGCCGCGCCCGCCGCGCCCCGCCCCGCTCCGCCGGGTATTTAGCGGGATCCCGGGAAGGAATTGGCCTTTCCGAGCGGGACGGAACCGGAGCGGTCGCGTCTGCCCGCCTCCAGTCGGGGTGCGTGCCTCAGTGGGTGCGGGGATGGATGTGGTGGGTCCCGGCCGGTGTCTGGGCGGCTCCTTTTGGCGGCGGATCCCGGGCTGGCAAGGGGCGCCTCGGGGAACGGGGAGTGCCGGGCGTGGGACGTGCCCGTGCTGCTCCGTGGCTTGGGAGCCGTCCCGCCGTGCCCCGGCCTCGGGCGTGGGAGCGGCAGCAGCGGCCGCCGAGTCTGATGAGTACAAATTAAAGGAGATGAAATTTAGGTTAGGTATTGGAGGAAATTCCTTGCTGGGAGGGTGGGGCGGCCTCTGGAGCTGAGTGCCCGAGGCCATGGTGGCGTGTAAAGCCGGGCTGGATGAGGCCTTGAGCAATCTGGTCTAGTGGGCGGTATCCCTGCCCGTGGCAGGAAAGGGATTGGGGCTGGATGGTCGCTGAGGTCCGTTCCAGACCTTTTAATAGTCTGTGGTTCCGTGTGGATCCGCGGCGGTCCGTGTGATCCGACAGCCGCCCGACCTCCGCCGTGCTCCTTGGAGCAGGTCCTGCCTCGGCAGTCCAGACATGTGCTCGTCTGAACAGTCGAGTGATTTCTGCCCTTCTCAGAGGGATTAGAAATGCTCCCCGGTGGTTAATGTGAGCAATCCCGACATGGCAGGTCAAAGCAATGGCTGTAATCTCAGGAATTGCAGGGATGGTTTTAGGTGCTTTTTTTTGATAGCCAAAGCTGTCAGTTGAAAGAGGAGTGATTGTCACGCTGCTGCAGCCGTGCCTGTGTTTCCCCTGGGCGCTGGGGTGGCACAGTCACTGCAGCCACACGGGCTGCCCAGGAGAGCCGGTGCCGTGGGAGACCGAGATGGACCTAATTACTGTGTGCCACGTGGTGGTTACTTGGAGCTGTCTCTTGGCTCATCAAGTCTTGAAAGGAATGACAGACTGGACATTCAGAGACACTTGGTTTTGCTGACAGATCGTTTTCATCAGCAAATGCCTGTCATAATTCAAAAGATAAATTACCTTTTTTTCCTTTAGGGAATTGGGCAAGGGCTTTGAGGTGACCTAGAGTGCCTTTGTTCAGGTTATAGGCACGGGTCTGAAGCGGTGGGGTCTGTCAGGGCCAGAGCCCCAGGAGCATCAGCAGCCTCTGTGATAAAGCTCTCCTGCATTACAGACTGCACTGTGAGTGCTGACCTCCGTTCAGCTGGTGGTAAAACATCAGTGAGTTCCCCAGAGTGTTGCTTGTGAACTGGGGTTAAAGGCTGTACCCTGCCAGGGTGCTCCTCTCCCCAGCCTGGCTGGTCATTAGGAGCACTGTACTTGTTCTGCAATTAGTCATTCCTTACACTGGAGCTTGTTTTAGGAAAATGGTCATGCCTCTGCTTAAACTTGATCTCAGCTGATGATCTGTCCCATGTAATTACATGAGCATGGGGCTTGTGTTTCTTGGACTGGCTTACTGTTCCCAAAGAAGTGTTAATGCTTTCTGCTGCTGGCTCGGCAGTGGAGCTCTCTGAATCAAACATCTTCTTTTCATTGTTTTAGGCAGAAAGTGAAGCTCAAGATGAGTTTGTTGCTGGCTTTGGAAATCCTCAGTCTGGACTCTGCCGTGCCTTGCAAGCAGAAAGATGTCACATGAATTCTGGAGCTACAGAAGTAAGTATTTCTTATTGTACTTAAAGATGTTGAGGGAAGCATCATGAAATCCAGATCAGCGTTCTGAAGCTGTTTAATGGCTTGCAAAGTCCCTTACAGATGGAAAAAAGAGAAATTTGATTGTATGTAGGGTTAAGAGATTCAGATCTTAACAAAAGGTATTATGGCAGCTATAAAATCTCCTAAGACTTGCTCCCCAGAACAAAGCCAGTGCATTCCAAGAATCCCAAAGGAGTCAAAAGGGAGAGGCTTGTATCAGGAAACCTAGTTTTTAACTGGGGAAGCATGGCTTCTGATTTAAAGAATTCATGGATGTTAGCTGAAATGGAGAGAATTAAGTGAAAAACAGTATGTTCAGATGACAATCCATGCTGGCACTTCAACTGTGTCAGTCTTGGAATGTATTCCAAAGGGAAAGGTGACTGTGGTAGTGAGCTTTATTTGTAGAAAGATACTTGGCATTTGGGGTTTGTAAGAGAGGGACCTGCATTTTTGTGCCCAAACAGAGCTGTTTTTCCTCTTGGTTGTACGCAATCTTTTCTGTGCTTAGCAGTTAAAATGAAGGCTCTGCTTCAGCTTATGGAAGTACAACTCTTGAGACAAACTTAAGCAATTCCCTTGTATTTAGTACCTGGAAAAAGCAGCTTTATATAGGCAGGAAACTGCTGGCATAGTGATGATGACCCTTTGCCGTTTACCCAACTGAATGTTGTGATGAGCAGTGTTGTATATCTGATGTGCCAGCTAATCAGTAGGTTTTTCCAGTTTGATTTGCTCCTGTCATTTCTGATTTTATATCTTTTTTTCCAAGGTTCTGTGACATCAGATGACCACCTCCGCTGTCTTCCAGCCTTGTGTGTGCACACAGGGCCAGCAGGAGAGTCCACCACTTGTAGAAGTGTGGGTGTTTAAGGAGGTCAGTTGCTTTTTTACTGTCATAGTGCTCAGGCTCCTGCAGGCTGTTCTGCCATCCAGGGAAAGCCTGTACTGGCCATGTTGGCTACCCTCCTTTCCTTGTGGTACTGCTACAAGTCTTCCAGTTTTCAAGAGATCATGGGAGAAACTGGGGAGAAGCAAGGATAAAATGTTGTGCTCTTTCTGCAGAAAATCCATTAATACTACTTCTCAAAAGTAGTAATTTATAAAGGAGTTCTTTCAGTCTACGCTTAAAGAGTAATTTTCCTGGCATAATGATGAGACTTTTTTGCCGTTTACCCATCTGAATGTTTTTTGATGTGTATCTTGAGATCTGAAATGCCAGTGAGGGTAATACCTTTGTGTAAGATTAATTAGGGGTACAGGAAACTAACTCATTATTGTTATTGTTCTTAGCTTGAAAACAGCAGCCTGGAATGTGGAGTTCTAATGCACTTGGAAATGGTTGCATTGCCCTTCCTGCTCATCAGAAATACTGCTTGGTTCCGTAGTACAGCAGGGAAGTAGCTGTTCACTGAAAACGAATAATCCTGGAATGAAGTTCGGGGTAGAGTGTCACTCCTGAAAGAGAAGTGGCCTTCTGGACAGTCTTAGAACTTACTATGAATTTTTGAGTGTATCAAATAAATGGATCAAAAGTGAATAAGGCAAAGATTAAAATGTGGGAAAATTTGTGTTGTCTAAATGAGTGTTTACAGTGTTAGTAGTGGGTACGAATAAAATCTTGTTTTCAGTAGCTTATTTTTTTTGTTGAGGCTATGGGAGCCATAGCACTCTGGTCCTGCTGGATGACATCCTGGATAGGAGTAACACAAGCCTTAATATTCAGCTTGTCCAGATTTGACAGGAAGTCTGGACAACTTTACTGCAGCTTTTTAATTTAAGATGTATCTCTTGGATGCCAGGCTTGCTGAGTATTATGCCTAGTGCTGTATCCTTACTAGGAGGATGAAACACGGAAAGCCCACAGCTGGGGAAGCATAGGGTGCTCCAAACACCTCATGCCCTAGCACACATTCTGCATTTGTTTTTACAGTGGGGTAGAGCTGGACTCATTGAGTTGCCTGCCTACCCATGTTGTCTAATATTCTTTTACCTAACTGTAGCACTCTACTATCCCCGGCAGTCTATATAAAATAATGTGGAAACATTGGGTTTTGCAGGTTGGGAGGGTTTGGTGGGTTTCTTTTGCGGTTTGTTTTGTAGGCTTTTTTGTTTTGTTTGGGTTTTGGCTGCAGGAGCATCTGGCATCCTTGTCTAATCTCGTGTTGCTGTAGTGTAAAAAAAGATACAAAACATGAAGCAGTATGGTAATACTTTTATAATAAATTTCAAAATCTATACACCATGAATAAGTAAAGACTGACTTAAACTATGAAAAGAAGATTTTTAATGTTAAAACTCCTTAACCATTTGGGTGATACATTTGAAAGGAAGCAACAAGAAAAACTGCAGCATTCAGGTAGCTGAAATGAAACATTAGATTCTGGTGGTTTAATTTTTACTTGTAGTCTCATTAAAAATCCTGAATCCTAAATCACTCCTTGCTTAGCTGTGAATGGAGAGTGGTAGCCAGGAAGAGAAGTTTGGCTGGGACTGTATTCTGAAGTCATGGCTTTCCAGGATGAAGACTTCCCTCCTGCCTTCAAATAACTCACAAAACTTGTAATTCAAGTCCTGTCAGCTACGCTTTATTCCTTGGTAAAACATCACTGAACTGTCTTGTTTTTAGTAATTTTGGATTTCTAATTTATTTGGATTTTTTTAGCAATTTTTTTGGGTTTTTTTCTGTAGTCTCAAAAAGCCAAAGCCTCAGGCTTTACTTAGAGTGGAGTTTTTACTCTTCATTAGTGTTAATGTGAATTCCTGGGCTATAGGCAGCAATAAACTTCAGCAGTTGATGGTGACACTGCATGAGGTAAATATCTCTCTGTTGCAGGGAGTTTTCATCACTGAGGTCAAATGGAAATACAGGATTTGGTGCTACACATAATGCAGATGTGCCTAGACAAAGAAGAAATTAGGCTATAAGACTTGATATTTGCAAGTACTTTGAGGGGAAAAAAGAGCTGTGATGCAAATTGCGTAGTAATACAATCCTAGATCATAATTCTTGCCTTGCTTCCAAATCTGTGAACAAGTATGACTGATGCTTAATAAACCAAAAAACCTCCAACCCTTGTTTTTGGTTTTCCCAGGGAGGGAAATCTGCCCTTAGTCTAACCTGAGCCGATGTTAGAGTGGCAATGCCTTAAATAAACCAGTATGAAGGACAGACTTGTTGCTGGTCTGTGGCCTCATTACATCATTACATACAGCACTGAGACAAGCTGACAGACTTCTCCAGTACCCATCCTCAGCAGTGGAAGTTCTGGATTTTGATTTGAAATTACCTGCTATTGCAATCGATGGATGTAGAATTTTTTCAGACTGACAAATGTGACAGTGATGCACCCAAGCACTACGGAGCTGTTGTGCATTACTTACCGTGTTTTAGGGTCAGCGATGACTCCAGTAACAAGACGGCAATCACTGCATCTTCCTCAAGTACTGTCTGCCTTAAACTGAGCTTGGCATGGGCCTTAGCCAGTGAAATCCTAAGAGATCAATACAAGCATGTCAGAAATGAAAAATAACTGCAGGCAGGAATGCAATGTGTATTGCCCTGTATCAAACACTTGTGTAAATTAAAAGTGGGGTGGTTTTTCTCATACTTTAGCTGTGTGGTTACACTTACCACTGACAAAATACACATTATGCATGAACTTTTTGTGTTAAAAAGTGGAACTTGGCATGTTCTATTAATACTTCTTTTGCTTCCATAATAAAGCTGTATATATTTAAATCCTTTTTTTTTTTCCATTGATAGCTTTAATAATGATACATGTTTTATAAATGGCTGGGTTGGTTTGGTTTTGTTTTTTTTTTTTTTTTTGGCTGGCAAAGTTGTTTGAACTTTATTTTAGCAGTGTCAAAATATAAAATAAATGGTATTCATAAATAGTAAGATTATTTATGCTTGAACCTATTAAACAAGCTCCTGAGCAGACTAGCACAATTTCTCTTTGAAAATGGAAAGTAGGACGTACAGAATTTTTAGTGCAGAGGCTGATAACGTTGATCCGTGAATGGAATCTCTTCTCACCCTGCGACTTGCAAGATAGTAGCCCTGAATGAGACTTTCTGCTTCTGAACTCAGTTCAACATGAAGATTCCTAGCATATGAAATAAACTAGAGAGAGGGCATACATTTTAAATAGTGAACAGGAAAATAAGGAATTTACCTTTTTTCACACCTTTTCATGTAACAATGGCCTAGTAATACAATATATTCTAGCAATAGCTTTACTAGTAAAGACAGTTGTCACCATTTGGCTATACTGAATAAAAAAATATGAAAGATAATAATAGGGACACATCTTGGATAGTAAAAACATTATAGAATGGTTTGGGTTGGAAGATTATTCCATTACAACTTTACTCCAGTGGGACACTTTCCACTAGACCAAGTGGCTCAGAGCCCTGTCCAGCCTAGCCTTGAACACTTCCAAGTGGGAATCATCTGTTAGTTATGCTGTAACTATTGACAATTTAATTAGAATTCAATGTTAACATCTACTGGTTGTAAACTTTTTGGTCAAAAACAGATATTGGAGATCTGTTCTCTGTATAACTGTTAGTATGTTTTCCAGAAGCACTCTCAAACTATTTATTATACTGACCCTTTTCAAGATCTGAAGCTGCTTTTGTCAACGATCCAAATGGTACTAGTGGAAATATGGTGGGGGAAAGGGTGGAAAGTAATTATTAAAAGTAAGCAGACAGCAGAGGGAACTTTCTGATGCCAAACCCAGTAAGATATTCACAAATATAATGCCTCTCGTATAATTTGTTACCTCCTCATAATCCTGTGTTCTGAACTGCTGTGAGACTTTGTACAGCATGGCTTCAGGATTAATGGCTTTTTTCAAGGTATGGTGTACAACAGGAGAAGACAGGCGACAGGAAGGAAACTCACTGTAGATCAAGAGCCCAAAACCATCTACAAGGTTAACTGGAATCAAACTCACATCCTAAAGAAAAGATCCATAGAAAGAAAACATCTACTTTATTTTGGGCTTTTGACTGAAAGAAGCATCACAGTGTTTTATATCTGAAATATCCCATATCCACTTATACTGCAAGATTATCTAATGAATTACCTGTACTACTTGGTAAAATGTTGTTTGAATGACACCTACATTTTTGGGAAAGCTATCTCATTTTAGAAGATACTTGATTTAAAGTTACTTAAGTTGTGACTTTCTGGGAAATGCTAACAAGTTTTATTGTTTTCATTATTTTATCAGTGGAAATAAACACCAGCGACAGCTATAGCACAGTTCCTCTCATAGCAAGGCACGTGCTTTACCATCTGTCCAATTAGAAAGTTCTCCTTTTGTATATGTTTCTTTGAGGAAGAGTCCACATCTACAAAGGACCAAAAGTTGGTCTGAACTGAAACAGTAACTTGTTGGTCAGCCTCTTCTCCATACTTCTTCCCAGGAATAAATACTGTTGTTGTTCTGCTCTCTAGCACTAGGATAAGACAAAATTCATCAGTTACGTGATGGATTTAGCTTAACTATAAATTCTAGCCCCACACACATCTGAAATCAGTCATGATTATGATTAATGAATGTAGTGTAGCAGATTTAAATTTACAGGACCCTGGCTTTTTTGTCCTTGTGTCTTACACAGACCCATTAAAAACAGCGTACAGATTTTTGCAGCATTTGAGGGCCATAAACTGGGGAACAAACCTAGCCTTGAATTTGCATACTTGTATACTTCTGTCCCCTCATTTGTTAGGAGGTGGGAGATTACCAGACTGTAGAAGTTCAAGTTTATCCTTTTTATATGAACTTAAGTCTCCTATGTAACAGATGCCACCCTTGGCCAGCACAGCGCTGCAGGCTTGAATACTGGCACTTCCAGTTCCATGTTTATCTTTGGACACAGAAGGAAAAATGTCACTGGAAGGTGGGTGTCGTATGCCACGGGGCAGAAGACATAAGCTGTAATTCAAAAGCCTGGAGGATTAAATAATTCTGTCAGTCATAAATTGTTAAATTATTAACTTCTAAAAAAACTTGATAAGTATTAAGACGCACTTAAAAAAACAACAAAAATTCCTTAACATGAAACCAGCATCAAAACTAATTGTTTAAATACAAAAGGTTCTAGCCTGCTTTCTAATAGCTGTTGTCAAGACACTATTTCTTATGGATTAAACATGTGGCAAATCATGGGTTGCAGAAGTAAATCCTAGGAAGTCAAAGTTGTCCTGTAATTTAACCCCACATTGTTAACTCGTCTTTCTATTCTACAGAAACTTTTCCAGCGATTTAAAAGTTTAGAGGATTAGTAATTCTGGCCATCTGGGAAAATGAAAAGGCTGGAACTTGCAAGCTCTGCCTTCCTGAGTTACACACTCCCCTCCAATTCTTTTGGAGAAAGAGGCTATAAAAAATCTTTTTCATCCCCTGTACTATGTTCCTTGGCACAGGGAGGTTGCAAATTGTCTCTCTGGTTCCACAATCAAAGGCTCTTAATGATTTTAAGATGTCAGAGCATGGTTTGCCCCACTATTGTGATGTGGGAGAAAATTACTAAGTAAAATTAGTAAGAATTAGTAAATAGGTATTGCACCAATGGAAATATGTAGGAAATGCCTACTTTGACAGGCTGCTTATAGTGAATACTGTGCACATGAAAGACAGTACAAATTACAATATCAATGATGATTTACAGTGTGCAGCTGTTTTAATATTAACCAGATGTTTTGATTCTTAAAACACTGAACTGCTGTTTGTCTTAAGAAATCTTAATCTTAACCTGGGAGAAAACAAATTTGCAGTTCACGTTTCTAAAAATTTGAACTAATTCCTACAACTAAATTTTAAAAAGGTCAAAGTTTTGGGGTTTTTTCCCAACAAAAAATATTAATGAATTGGTTGAATAGCTTCCAAATGAAAATAAAATTCATGCCCCTTTCAGAGATCTTGTTATGGAGAAAGTAATCTTGCTTAAATTAATGTAAATCTGAGCATATTGTATTTTTCTGCAGTGTATGTAAAATTGTGTTAAAAGTTTATTGTTGCCTGAATAGGTAAATACATAAAATGCATAGTGAAAAATATTTAAATCTAACAACAAGCAGATTTATGATTATGTGTAAAGATGCATGTGAATTCTGATACCTTATGTGAATGGCTTTTATGAAAAAGAGATAAAAATGTAAATATCTATTTATACACTGCTTAATTATTCAGAAGGCTGATAGCTGGGAATCAAGTGATGAGAGAGCTTACATTGACAAAAGGTTTGAAAAGATGAGCCTTTTTTTTTCTTTTTTTGTTACCAGCTTCTGGGACAGCCTTCAGTTTTGATTTTAGAAGAACGAGCTTTTATCTGAGCTCTACAAAACAGTGCTAGTGTTAAATTCTTACTGTAATCTTACAAGAGTTTTAGGAGATTTTACAATTAATGAAGTTCTGATCTAGAGTTATGTGAAAGAAACAAAAATGTCCAAGGGATAAAAATTGAGTACTTAACTAAGCTGGAGCCTTGTATATTCTTTTAAAACAAAGACTCTAGCTTTTCATGTAAGACCAATCCTATAATCTTTAAAAAGACTAGATTTTAAATTCTAATTTAGGTGAAAAAAAAAAGGAATCTCTTTACCTGTCAATTACTAGCGTGTCACTTGTCATAATCAAGAGATCCAGATAATCTGCATTTTCTTTTTCACACGTCTGTACTAGACTCAGCAATATTGCAAGTTTAAGAGTATTGTAAGTGCCTGGTGGAACAACTTGAGAAGCAAAGATGTTGGCCAGGACAGCACTAAACCTCCAGCGTGAACTTGAAGTCAGTGAGAGCAGATACTTAAAATTGTCACTGACAAAAGAAGGACCTAATGGAAACAAAGTACAGGTGAACAAACACATTAAAGAAACCTGTGCAGGTAAGTTAGAACAAATCACCATTGAATTCTTGATACAAAAGCTTACCAAGAACAAGTATATCTTTATATTAAGCACAAATTCAGAATTTAAGCATCTGACACTGTTAATTTTGCTTGTAAAAAGGTAGCAGACATGATCTGTTAGAATTGATTGCAACAAGAAAGGGAAAACAAACTGGAATATCAGGTTCATTTTATATGATTACAACGTACTTTCCAATGGATAGGAGAAGATGGAAAGAGAAGTTGAAGAACTACTACATAATTAGGGAGTTTGCCAATGTATGGAAAGCGGGCAAAAGCAGATATTCTCAAATAACAGCAAGTACACATTTCAGACTGTAAGAGGAAAGTCCCTGAGTGGTTTTATATTCTGGACCTCTAGATAATAAAAAACACTGCTAATTCTCAAGAGTTTTTTCTAGGAGGTTTTCCAAGGTTTAAGTCAATTTTAATGGAACTTTCTTACCATTTGGTTTATAGAGCTGTACACTATTGACTTCTATACATGCAGTCATTTGTAGGCCGTTTTGTACACAAGCTGGAATTCCTATAATCCTGTAGTGGTTTCCTATTATCATTTTATTGGCCAGTTCATCTGCAAATAATAAAAAACTAAGTGCAGGGGGCAAAGCTACAGATATGTTAGGGCATAGAAACAGTTTTAAAGACATGGTCAGAAAACTTCTACACATTCTGAACGTTTGATTTTATGTTTTAACATTGGCAGAAAACAGCTGGAGGCCAGATTAATAATGGACTAGAATAAAATGAAACATACAATTTTAATTATTTAGTGCAAAAGATAAGGAAGGCACACCAGGTTAGGGAAAATAAATTTCATGATAAAGAAAAATGACAATGCATTTAGTCCTGCATTGAAAAGCAAATGGATAGTTTTTTGCAAGTATATTTCCTACTCTGAAGTTTGTGGCATCACCATTATCAGTCACAATATCATTATAGGACATATGTCCTATAAAATGTCAGAGAAAAAACCCAAGACCATAAAAAGGAGATCCAAACTACACAGATTTCAAAAAGACCCACAAATAGCTTTGTGAACCTTTATATTTTTGTGCACCTTAAGAAACCAAATCCCATTTATTTTTTGAAAATGAGAATTAGATCCAACCAGATCTCAATCTCAGCCTGAGAAACACTGTAAGCACACTGAGCACTAGAGCCAGCAGAAATTTACTGCATGCAACTCTCAGTATCTTGACCATAGATTGTTCTATAAATTTTTATTATAATTTTACTACTACTCATTCTTTCTATTTAGTTTTCAATAAATGAACCATATAATTCCATAGACTTTTGAAATGGATGAGGATTTTTTGTTGCTTGTCTCCGTGTTTGTTTGGGGGTCTTAAGAATTAATGGAAGTACATTGCTGAGTTGTGATTTTAGTTATGTATTAACATTAGAAATCATTTAATGTTTGTGGTGGATGGCAGTGGTAGTAGAAGCCAAAAATCCTGATGGAATGTGGAAAACAGCTAGATTGAGGAAGGATGTTAAATATACATGAAGTTAGTACAGAACAGCATGACCAAAGGAAGTAGAAAGGAGGAAAAAACAGGCAACAGTTAGAATAATACACTGCTGAGCTGGCCAGGGGATTTTAATTAAATGGAGGTGTAAAGGTAACACAAGAATTTTTCTATGTACGCTCCGCAATCACCTGTGCACACTGCTTTGTCACCTAGCTATTTTTTATAATTAATTAATTTATAATTAAGGGGAGTAGCACAGAAAGAACTGCAATGTAAATAATGACTTTCACCATTTTAGAAAAAGAAAAAAAAATAGAGCTACACTTGCAAGGTATTATTATAGATGAATTCTAAAACATTTTGACAGAACTCTGAAGTTCAGCTTACCTCTCAAGAACAATGTAAATGCCTGAATCCTAAAGTGTGATTTATCAATGGAATATCCTTTCAAAGCATTCAGAATTTTAGCATCAATCATTTCAACTATTTGTTTATCTTTCAAAACAAAGGCAAAGAAAAAGGTTAATTCTCTTGAAAACATCTCTTTTAAAAAAGACTGGTGTATTTTAAGTGGGCTTTTCCCACTTAAATATTTTGTTTGCTTGTTGTATAACAGAAGGAGGAAACTACCAGATCTAGAAGTAAGATTACATAGATCCTACCACCAAGTACTCTAAATTTCATGTCTTCCTGCAGTGGTGAAGAACACAAGCTACACACAAAATCAGTCCTCACTGTAGCAGACTCTGTAGCTCCAGGACAATGCACTCTGATGCACCTAAACCCTAAAAAAAAAGGCAACAATTTACCAACCATTTAAAAGGAGGGCATAGCTTTAGCTTTAGATTTCCCATGAAGAACAGAAGCAATTAAAATACTGGACAGTGAAATTCTACATTTATTACTTGTTTCTTCAGATGAGCCTCCCTTACATATGCCACTAAAATAACCCATCTAATTTACTGTGTTTGGCCACGAGATGGCAGCTTCCCACTGCACATTCCCAAGATGAACAGCTTGGCAGGCCTTTCTTGAGGAGTGAGCCACTTCTGCCTGGCGTGGGAATGACATATGGATAGTCACTATGAGAGGTACGTGTCCTCGTAAAGATGTCTGTGTGACTTAAACTGCAGTCTCCAAACTTTGGGATTTTGCATCTCTTTTGTATCTGTGCGGTCTCTCTTACAGAAGAAGCAAAAAAACAGCCTTAAAAGTAGCGCCTTAGGGCCTCTCTCTGCAATGGGGCAAGCAGCTCAGTAATGCTACTCAAAGCAGTCTTTCCACAGAAGCCGGCTACTCATCAAAGCACCACTTGTTCTATGCCAGAAGCTTTTGCTTGTTCTGTGGTATTTTTTTATAGACAAACAGTTTCCAAGGAAAAAGGTATGTTGCTAGTTTAGCTTACTTACTTTTGAGATATTTTATTGCTATTTAAGATATTTAAATATTAAGTTATTTAAGATATTAAATATATTGAAGTTCTACACGTGACTTATGTTTTCTCCTATAAACTATCTTCAGCATAAGGAAAAGGGACTGCTGGCATAGCTGTTCTTCCAAAACATTTAATAATGCTGAGCAAGTCCACTGCTTTCAATTAACACAAATCCTGCTCTGTTCATTACAAAAATGTATGCATAATAAAACTGTATAGGAAAATACCTTTGTTAGGCTAGGTTTTTAATGTCTTATTACCAAATTTATTTAAAAGCTTTTGAAATACTACTGATTAATTTTTATATTTCTTACTACCTTCAGAGAATGGACAGGTTTCCTCAGTACAAAGAAATCTTGCTCCTTGTGTGTATTTTGTTACAGTTCCCATTGCAATCACTATCCCTTCAGACATATAAAATCTTTGAGATGTGTAATTAAAGGGATATGCAGAAAGACTCAGAACATAACTCGGTAAAGGTGGCAAATGTGTTGGTCTCAGCAATATACTGATCTAGCAAGAGACACAATAGCATTAATATCATAAAACCATATTTTTATTTAAAACTGCTTTACTTTTCATGGACAAACACACAATGTGATATATAACTTTAAAAATTTCAGAAACACATGCAGAGTAACTAGGTTTCATATTAATTAATCTCACAATTGCAATGTAGTAGGGTGAGACTTCCAGCTATTTTTAATCATAAATAATACTGCAACCAAAGGGAAAATGAAAACTTAATACAACAATATTTGTTAATATTTCACTATACTTAGAAGATTCAAGATCTAAATGGAGAAAACCAATGTAGACTTACTTGGGCTTCTGTCTGCAATTGTTCAATTAATGATAATGTCTTAATAGCTACAAAGCATACCTGTAATGGAAAAATAACTTCATTTAAGAAAGGAGAATCTTGTTAAAATTTAGATGATGCACTTTTGTCTACTCATCTATTATACACTTACTGACTGAAAAATCTGTGCAGCTTGTAGGGGATTATGAAGAATATAGTTTCCAAGAGTTGCATCCAATTCAGCAACGTCAGAAGGATTAATTGAAATTATGAAACGATAAACAGCATAACTTTGTTTTGAGTCTGTAAGAATAAAAGGTATTTTAAAATAATGGATTTGTTAATATAACATTATGTATCAATTCAACAGACTGTGTATTGAGTAATACCGTTGTATTTTTTGCAATCATGCACAAATTTCTGAAGGCCACCGCTTCTGTCAAGGTAGACAAGGACAACTTCCTTCATCTTCTGTATTTCAGGATCCATCTTCCCAGATCTTTGCACACTTTATCCAACTGTGGGAATAAACCGTGAAGAAATGCTGGTAGCACTGGCCATGCTGTAACAGTAATAATAAAGGTACATACTAACAAAGCCACACAAAATTAAAATAGTCTCTTTTTCAAGCTAGGCAATTCTTGAAGGATTTTTAAAATTCAGTTCAAAGCTCTTTCCAATGATTGACACGTACTCTATTTCTAGAGTAAATTTCTGAAGAATGCTCTAGTGTTTTCATTTCTTTGGTGAATTATTTCACTCTCCTAATTCCCTAACCCATGAAATTAAAGTCCCTGTTTAATTTAACCTCCCCTGTAGATTTTTTAATCAGTCTATCAAAAGTAATTCTTAAAATTTTATCTCCCTTATTTGAGAAGTCTGTCATAGCTGTTAAAAGTGTGAAACTGGGTAACATCCCTTTTCTTAAAATCCGACTTTCCTACCCTGCTGTGATCTCCTGTAGCACCCACTTAAGGTGCTGATCTTGCACTTACTTCCATGCATGTACACAGACCTTCAATTCTGATTCCCACTAGTAAAGCTTTTACAGCTACGGTTTTGGTTTGGTTTTTGACTGACCTTGCTCTTTAGTGTGGTTTTCATTGTATATTACTCACATATTTCTCTTTTTTTTTTTTTAAGAGTAGAGTCTTGTACCATGAAGCACTACTTTGCAGAATTTAGAAGGAGAATTACTAAGGCCAAAATATGGTATTTTGTATATATGCATCTGTTTCAATGTCTTTCATATTTTCTTCTGCAAAATGTCCTTAGTTCTCTCTGTAGATGACCAATATGAAACAACACTCGAATCTTCAAAAATAAGACAGCTACCTGGTAAAGGATAGGACAGGGAATTACTGAGCTGATGAGGGATTAAAGCTCACAGCATATGAGAGATTCCCTGTAGGAGTTCACAGAAATGACTTTGGGAGGACAAACAGATCAATATCCAAGAGAAGTAACTGGATTTCAGCACAACTTCAGTAAACTCTGTGGCCTGAGACCTGTACACTGTGGGCTGAAACGTGTTTAATGCCTGAAGTAACAAATTAAAGGCACAAGTTAAAAGACAATTTATAATAGGGGTTCCCCCCCACACCCGTTTGTGTCTTTGGGATTACTCTTGAACGATTACTACTCCATCCCTTGAAATATTCAGCAAGAACGGCTTAAAGAAATGTACAAACATAGATGCACTGTATGTCCCTGGATCCTGTGTTACCCGGGCTGGATACGCAGGACACAACATATGATAGGGAAGACTGAGCATTGTGCACTGAGCAGCCAGCGCCTAAGCTTCGGAAAATAAAGCCTGACCAGGGTGATGGTGTTCGCCAGTGTCCCCACAGCCAGCTGACCCCACTCCAGGTGTGACTCGGCACATCAGCATCTCCTGGCTTCAGCTTCCATGCCATCGGCACCCCTGCCTCACAGACCTCCCCACCAGTTGTTCACCAGGCTTCCTGCGCCCCGTTCTCCCCGGCGCCGCTGGGTCGGCAGCAGCGGGCACCGCGGAGCCCGGGCTGCCCTCAGCCCCGCGGGGCCGCGACGCCGCTCCTTGTTCCCGCGGCGGAGGCGAGGCCGTCCTGTACGGGGCGGCAGCGAGGGCTCGGCAGCGAGGGCTCGGCAGCGAGGGCTCGGCAGCGAGGGCTCGGCAGCGAGGGCTCGGCAGCGGCGGTACGGCGCTCCCGGCGCCGCCCCCTCAGCCCCTCAGCCGGCGGCGCGGGGAGAGCCACGGCCCGCAGGGCTCGGCCGCGCAGGGGCAGCGCCGGTGCTCAGTGCGAGGCCTCAGGGAAGGCAATTCCCAGCCCATCCCACACCCACAGCTGCCCCAACCCCGAAGCCACCGCCGGGACTGGCGCCTCGGCCCCACAGAGCTACTGCCTTCACCCACGGGCAGGGCACTGGGCACGGGACATGGCTCTGTCAGTGTGCAAAGCACTGCGGCAACGTACTTACAGAACCATTTTTTCTCATTAATACACATTGCATATTTAACTGCTGCCTTTAGCATGGCAGACACTCCCAAACTTAGCTCTCCAGGAGAGCACCTCTGAACTCTGTGTTGTATTTCAGTTCACATTTTTACAAGCATCGGGCTTTTCAGTCAGTCCATCTTTCCTGTGGTCTCTCGTTCCCCCCCTCAGGCCGAGAGGTCGGAGACCACAGCAGCAGCACGGCTCCCGGGCTCCACAGCACCGGAGAAAGGCCTGCTCCTCGTGGGGTGCTTGGGCTCCAATCAATCCCCTTCTTCTACAGACAGGCAGAACAAAAGCCCCTGCACTACTCACAAAAAGGCAGATTTTGCCTTTATTATCAAAACAGGAAAGTAGTAGCACAAGTGGTTCCTGTGCAGGTCCACCACTCTCTAGGCTTTACTGCGTCTTTCAGGTATCACGTTTCATAGCTCAGCCCTGGGTGAAAAAACCAAAAAAAAAAAAAAAAACCCACAACCCTTCATCCAGTCAGGCACCTAGGTATGAATGTCTTGGAATTCAAGACAAAAATTAAAAAGGGTGCTAGTTGCCACAATAATTTCTGAAGTATTCCCTCTCCTTCCCATCCCTCTACAGCACTGTACCTCCTTGCCATAAAGAGAAGGTAGTTACAGTAGCCACATAATTACACAATAATTTCAGGAGCATACAGACTAAAAATTCAGTATGAGAATGGATACTTCCTTTCATACCACCTATTTGTTTCCCAGTCCATTAGCAAGCCATGTTTAAAAAAACCAAAACACAAAAACCAAACAAAAAACCAACCAAACAAATCAAATCACTAAACCCCAAAAACCAAAAATACTGACAACTGCCTCCCACTACCCCCAACCTAAAAACCCCAGGGCTGTTACTTCCAAATTATTTTAAGGCCAAGGAAACTATTCATGTAGTTGTTGGTTGTCCTGAACAGCTTTTTTCAACCCTTGCAGAAAAGAGCTATGGAAAATGAGTGCCAAGCCACCATTCTGCTCCCACAAATGATACAGTTCCTTCCTTCCTTGCCTGCCAATGTCAGTTCTTACTTTTTAGCCAATCACTCCTTCCAAAACCTCATGTAGCAACTGCTAAGCATCACTTAACCGCCATGCAGGAGACTGTGCTCTAGGAGATGCTCCTTGAGATAAGCAAGGAATCCTGTTTTACTTTCCACTTTTGTAATGTATTGATGCAACGTTTATTTCAAAATAATTATGATTTGATACACCCTCTCCCCCTAGGTTCTCAATTCTTATCAGATTTTGACACAGTATATTTATTTTAGGTACTTATTTTGCCAAAAAAACCAATGTGACTTAGATACTGAAATTTATGTAATATTCATTCAATTTATGTATTATTGTGATGTATCAGTACCTTACCAGACTTCTCTCAAATCAAGGCATTTAACTGAATCTATTTGTGAACAAAAAACACTGAACATTTTTGGAGTAACAGACAAAAATAAGTTGTTATTTACAAGTAATATATATAATAAAACTACTACCATTATATGCCTTTTATACACTGTAACTGCAGTCAATTTTTGCATTGTTTAAAAAAAATTTCCTTAAACAGAAATTGTTCAGAATTATGTTTGTCCATACAAGTGTATGTTAGGAGAAATACAATAGCTTTTCACATTTTTAAAAATCATCAGTGTAATTTACATTTTCCCCCCAATATCAAGTGAAGATTTTAAAATGGTGCAAACTGAAACACAAAGACAAGTAGCTATGAGCATTGAAATACAATCAATTTGGAACATAAAAGTGTTTTAAACTACCAATCTGTGAGAAAAATCCCTAATATTTGGCATGATCATCTCACCACCCACCCCCAAAATGTCAAAGCTAATTGACTTACTTTTAAAGTAACCATGATTATTGCATATTAGATCTTTGGAGAAGCAGAGCTTTAACCAAAAATATTTTTAATGTAGTTGAAGTATAGACATACTTAGCTCAGGGAAGAAAGAAAAGTAGAACATGTAATAAGTAATGTTATCAAATCAATCCAGTTAATTTGTTCTGTCCTTGCTTTGAGTAATCGCCCATACCTCAGATAATCCAGTTGAGTCAATAGGTACTTCAGCAAGTACAAGAGCAACAATCCAGTTTTATGTGACCAAGTTTTTGTTCTGCAGAAGTCCTTTAAGAATCTTGGTCCTCAACATGTATCATTTAAGTGCTGACAGGTAAATTAACACATACTCCAAACTGGTAACAGGGAAAACATTTAACTTTTTTTAAACCAGGATATACAAAAGACAATTTGCATAGTTACAATTCAAGCACAAAGTCACTGTAAATAAGTACAAAAGCATTTATAAATTTACTAAATTTGCTGCTGTTTGTGCCAGCCAAATTAGATAGGTATGAATGTAAACTCAAAGGGATTGAGGAGAACAGTCAGTGTTTTTGCTTAAAAAATACATAGAGAATGCTTTTTAAAGGTTTTAAAAAATATTTTCTGCAGCAGGAACAAACAGTTCAAACCCCAAAGAAAGCCATCCAAAATGCCCAAATTCTTCCTATACAGCAGAGAAAGTTTGTTCATAGGTTTCAAACCTACATACAAGACGAGGCACTATTTACGCTATTTTGGAATGTGTCCATAACCCTAACATTTCAGTTCAACCCAAGACTTCCAAACCACTCTTGGCTTCTAAGTCCCTAGGAAAACCCATCTTCAGAGGGTGGTGCGTAAGAAAATCCCACAAATGCATCATCTGCCTCTAGGACACTGGCATTAACAATGTTGTAGTCAGAAGAAACACAAACTGAGTATGGGACCATTTCTTCTGTGAACACTGCATCAAAATTCCCAATATCGTCTGGTCCAACCTAGAAAACAGAAAGATCTGTCAGTCATCAAATTAATACAGTGTTTTAAACTTGTGCTTGTCCTAGAGATTCCAAATTTAACTCTCAAGGCTATCTATTTTCTTGTTATATTCTATTTAAGCAAAGAAATTTAAGGAGGTACTTCACTCCATCTCTGAAAATAGGTATTAAGAGGTTGGGGTTTTTTTTATTGAGGTTGGAGTTTTGACCAAATCCTACATTC